TCTAACTTTAAACTTTGTATTGTACATTTGCTATTGTTGTATATGCATCATGTTGGCTTACCTATACAATAAACAAGATTTTGCATGTATGTTCTTGATTTTTTAAATTTTATATTTGATGTAACAAAATGTTGAGAGGCCAAATAAAAAAAAAGAACGCCACTATAAAATCCAGTAAGAATTTATTACGTTGTTTAACAAAAAAATGTCATAGTCAAGTATACATTTTAGCAAATACTATGTGCAGAAGTTATTTGCGCCTGAAATTGCGCTTGTATCGAGTTACCAGTGGGACGTCCATATAACACGGTTCCCACCGGCTTGCCTAAAATTCTCCACGTACCATCAAATAATGTAAATATTTAAATAAGTTTACTACATTTTGTGCTCAATTTTATGTGTACAATAATAATTAAACCAGTGAAATAAAGTGTACCTATCCTGTGTGCTAATAAGTGTTGTGTTTATTTGTCGCCAAGGCGCCACTTTTATTTTGCTCCGGCTTCACTGAAGACAACTTTCACGCCTCGCTACTGCGAGTTACAGAAACCGGCAAACATCTTAAACAATGTGATTCATGATTCATTTTAATCTCTTTAAGGGACGATACTACCTCACTTGAAAAATTTTCAGGTCGAGTGCCAGAAGACACGGATTTATACCAGAATTTATTTTTTTACAAAACAAATTAAAGCCATTTGAAAAATTAATATCATATAGTATACTTGTTCTATTTAGTTCAATTGATATAAAATAAATCATTGGTATATGTAAACTACTTATTGAATAAAATCGTTGTTACTATCCTATTGTGGAAATTTTAGGAACCTTGTTTTCACACAGTATAGTAGTCAGTGTATATTCTCAATTTTGGAAAAATGGCGGGCTTTTGAAGTTACAAGTACAGTTTTTATAAAGATTATTTTTATTTTAAGTATATTATGAAGATTATAAGTCCTTAGTTTAAAATAAACTACAAAAGATTTTAGTCTGAAAATTCCACTAATTACGAATTCAAAGTGACAATAATGTGATTTAAGTGAAAACGTAAATATTGACTCCCGCCGCTTATAAGATTATTGAGAAAACTCAAACAAAAGTATTAAGTTATTTAAGAGAAAGTGAAAACATAATGTATATTAAAACTACAATGGAAAATATTTATTGAGGATCCCGATAATTAAACGAAGACATGGCTCAAAGGACTTGTATCCAAGCCAAAACTCTTAATAAAAAAAACTCAATAATTGAAAAAATACAAAAATAAAAAATTATTGAAGAATAAATTATTAAAAATTATTATTAAATTAATATTATTATTTGTAAAATTATTTTACTATTGTTTATCCAAAGTGATTGATTCAAGACCCTAATGGCAGGGACTTGAGTATGATTTCAAGTGCTTTAAACCATACTCAAATCCTGACTTGAGCATTGAGTAGAGTTCTAGAATACGACCCTAAGGGTCGTAGAGTTCTAGAATACGACTCTCAGGGTCGTATTCTAGAACTCTATTCAATGCTCAAGTCAGGATTGCACTGGCAACACAAGCACTGGAAATACGACCCTAACGACAAGGACTTGAGTATGATTTCTAGTGCTTTAAATCGCACTCATGTCCTGACTTGAGCATTGAGTAGAGTTCTGGAATACGACCCTTAAAGGTGGTGTGCGGGTAACGGCGGCGGGGGAATATTGAACCGAACGCGCGATTGGCAGACCAGTCGGCCCTTGTGTTCCGTTCTCCAGCTGACATCCCGGATACAATCGGGCGAATTAAGCTATAGTATTTTTTTTATATGGAGTAAAACGACAGTCATTGGGCGAAATTGTTGCCCAATGGCAAAAAGCTAGTGATTGCAGTCGATAAATATTCTATCGATTATCGACTGAATGTTGGTCACGCTTATGCAATAAATAGCCGACCTTCTTTCATTTGAATCATCAGCGGCCCATTATTCGTTCAACTACTGGGCACAAGTTCATTTGAATTGCCAATTTTGGCGCATTTACGACTATGTCTATTTCGCATTTAGAGCTATAGCCAAAGCTCGCTCTGAGCCGTGTGTACGCAATATAATAACGCACTGTTCTGCTTTGCGTCTGCCATGTTAGCTGAAGCTCGCATTGACAGGTTCATGGCACTCTTACGGAAGAAGTCGGCGTCTTTATTAAACAGAATACGTAGCAGCAGCAACGGCCTATTGAAGACTATCGCGGATAGGAGTGAATGCTCCGTGACGCGGCATTTAATAACAATCACAAAATCCGTAGTAGAATTTAAGTACTAACCTAATTACAAGCTATTTTTGTTACTAATACTTCAGGGATCCTTGTTGTCCGTAATAAAGATAAATTATTATTATTAAAAATACAAAAAGTTAACATATTTTAAGGTTTTTAATTTTAATTCAATATAGATAATGAAAACTGCCTTGTCTTATTAAAATGTCTATGAATAAAATTTGATTACGATTCCAGAAAGCTAATTATCCAAATAAGAATACAGTGAGCAAGAATACAATTAATAATCATTAGAAGTGAATCACCCACTAAGCCGCTTTTTGCTAAAGATGTTTGACAGTACCTGTACATCAAATTTTCAGATTATTACATTGCTAATTAAAAAAAAAATTAGTCATCATCTGTGTCTGTATCTGGTTCATTATCCATAAGTTTTCCAATCCGTTCTGATGCTTCCTTCATTAACTTCTCACTTAAATGCGGAAACTTGGTCTCAAACTCTGACTTAAGACTCTCAATGTCAAATCGGTCCTTTTCGACATCATCCAAACACTTGTCTGTCTTTTCATACTCTTTGAACTTGGTCAAATCAAATTTGGAATGTTTTTTAATGTTCTCTAGCCCCTCAATAGCATCATTCACCGCATCTAATAACTTCTTATAGCCGCTGTCATTGTCGTAACCAAAATCCATATTCTTTGTCTCGAGTTTATCAAGGCACGCTTGTTCCGCTAAAGATAGGTCTTTTAAAATGTTTTCTGTATTGGAATTATCCATCATTTCATAGTATTGGGTACAGTCATTGCTTTTTAGATCCAAGAGTCTGCAAATAATAATAATAATAATGCACACTCTCATAGCACCGCACTAGGTCAACATGTATTGCGAGTGCCATGGACACATACATAAACAACCACAAATTACACCCAAACTCACAGGAGAAACAAATGTAGGTCATACAAATATTTGTCACGGCCCAGGAATCGAACCTGGGACCTCTGCGTGGCAGTCCGGCATGGTAACCGTTCGGCCATGTTGTTGGTAAATAACCATAACAGATGACAGGTGTGTCCATGACACATTAACACAGCAAACAGTGACCAAGTAGTTACAGAAATTTGGGACGTCCAGAGGAGATCGGTAGGAGGCATCATAGATGTTATTAGACCGCAAATTGTGATTCATGGCACAAATCAAATAGGTAGTCAGATTGTGAAGGATGAAATAAATATGAGAGAAAAAGTCGGACTGTGAATGATGAAAGAAAAAAACTTATTGAATTTTAACTTGCAAGGACATACCTTTTTTGTTCGACAACAAAATTAATATCCTTCAACCTTCTATTGGTCTTATCGAGCTGATCAATGGTCTTCTGGAATCTATCAGCTAATAAAGCCATCTGAATATCGATTTGCGTTTCTTCCCGCTCAATTTTATCGTCCACAATACATTCCTCTAACATGTCACGCAAAAATTTTCCATACATAATTTGATGTTGTTCTGTAGCTAAATTAGGCACTGAAACTTCCTGTTTCATCGTAGTAGCATCCAAATCACCAATTAATGTCATATTTGCTGCTGTTTTATTCATTTTCGAACGCGAAGATGCATTTTTTTCCTTTATGGCACTTGGCGGAACGCGTGTTTTAGATGATGAAGCAACAGTGTTAACTGTAGATGTACGTGCACTACGAACGTTTTTACTTGCGGGCACAGCGAAATTTTTCGGTTTATCAGACATTTTTTCGAGTAACTCGCAATAATTAAGAAGATTCACTTTTATTTACATATACAAAACAGTACGTTTGTTTAAAAAACTGTCATGGCAACCTCCGATACGTTCGGAAATAAGTTCGATCCGAGATGCGAAATTGAGCTATGAAAACTTTAAGCATAGAAACTGTAAAATGGAATAAAGAACGGATCGACTATTAATTAATATTTTTACTTTACTTTATTTTTACCAAGTGCATGATGGGCACTACTACATTTTTATGACGGAAGGGTAATCGACACAAAGTAACAAAAAATTTATGATAAAATAAGCTCATCCAATATAAAATACCATAATGTGTGAAACAATTTCGTAAATTGTTAACGTTTTTGAGCAATTTTTATTTTACGTGTGATATGAATGCGAGGAAGCCACCGCTTTAAATAGTGATATTTTTAAGTTGCTTCTTTTTATGACTTACAATGACAGTTGTCGCTAAGACTGTGTAAATTATTACATAATTTTATATTTTAAATTATTCTACTGCGCTTATGAGCGCTTCTTACGAAAAGTAATATTTTGTAAACAAAATATTTTACGCGGAAACACTGTTCCACAGTTACGTTTCTGAACGACAAATAAACAGTCAAATAAAAAATGGCAGTATGTCATTCAACAAAAAAATAAGATAAACGTTACTTACCTTCTTCTCTATTACTTTGTGGAAATAAAAATGATAAAAAAACTAAGTAAATATTCAAATTGTTTAAGTAATATTCGTGATCATTAAACACTACCTACGTACATAGTAGAACATAATAATTAAATTCAGAGTACACATATAAATTAAAATTAACAATAGACTTTAAAAATTAGTGAATTATAAAAAAATTAAAAACAAAGAAAATTTCAAAACATTGAAACTTTCTTCCAAAAATAGAATAAAATATTTCCAAAGCTTTCTTTAGAAAGGTCGAGTCAATAACCTTTTGACTTTACGAGTAAATTGTAACAAGACAGCATGAAATTTTAATAAACAGCCCAAAATATACAAAAAATTATTATTGAAATACTTCTTACTATTAAATTTTTCTTTGTTTCAAGGTAAATCGTCACACTACCTACATTTTTTTAATGTTTTTTAATACTTTGTTTCTAACACAAAGATATTGGCATTTCATTGTATCAACACAAAGCTTACCGTTTTCCGTGTACCAGCTACCAGCGTGAGATGCATTGCGGCAGGACATCTTGAAATAAAAAACGATTTTATTTATTATTTTCTATAGAAATCACAATTACTTTTACAATTACTAATAACTTGACGTTGATTGTTTTCTTGAACCATAGAGATGTGATTTTTTTTTAGCCGGAAGCCTTCGTGTGGAAACTTTATGTATTACTAATTGAAATCAGCGCCATCTAGTGCTTAACATTATAGGTTACATACAAAAAACACGAACAATTTTTAATTCATTCAAAAAACATTTTTTATACTAAACAAACAAATATAATAAAATTATGATTCAATCATGGCGTTTACTTACTCAATTTTACATGACAATCATGAATGAAAAAAATATTTGTTCACCAGAGTTGTTTAAAAACCATCCAAACCATCTTTTCCAAAAAGTGGAAAAATTAATTATTTTGTTTTACACTACTGACGGATTTGCCCTTACTTTCAGCGCCTGTCCTTTTTGAACGAAAAATATTAAAAAAAAAATCATAAATTCCCAAGTTGGAGGTTAGAATATAACATATTTTTATTTTAGTTAAATACGAAGTGATTTTCTTGCTAAGCTCAGGATAAGGGATCGTTCCCTTTGTGAGTGCGGTCTTGAAGAAGGAACTCTTGACCATATATTTTTTAACTGTGCATTATATCCCGTCTCTTTATACGATCTTCTTCCAGATTGTATCCCTCGTCCCACAAATTTTTATAGTATCCTTTCTCCCCTAAAACCTCCTCTACTATTTACTCTATTTAAGTATATTGAACAAAATAACATACGGTTATAACTTTTACTATGTGCACAGCATGTGTTTACGCTTTTCATCCAAAGTAGCTAGTCAAATAACCCCGTGTTTTGTCTTTGTCCATAGGATGGTGCAACCGATCATCGTCGTTTGAGTGAATCTTGATAAATATACCGTGTATCTTTCAACCCGGACACTGGCAAAATTGTCCTCAGTGGGACAGAAGCCAAATACCCAAAAAAAAGAAAAAAAAAGTGATTTTCATATTTCTTTGATAATAACAAATCTTGAATAATTGTAAGTGGCTAGACTTTTATAAAATGGAAGGGGATCCTGGTCAGACTGAATATTTTTCAAGCTATGAAGACTTAGAGGTAATTCAAAATTTATAAAATAATATGAGGCTGTCAGCGCAAAAGTGGTGTAACCCACATTAAATTTTTTTGACAATATTCATGTGATACTTGCATAATAACCGCTTAAGTATTTTAATAACCGGCAATTTATCTCACCATCGCATTGAGTCCTTAATAAATTAGTAAAGAATAATCAAAACAACCCTGACGTTGGCGAAACCGTCGCGCAAAACGACCGAGCCATACTTAGGGTCGTATTCCAAAACTTGAGCAAGCACTGGAAATACGACTCTAGTGGCAAGGACTTGAGTATGATTTCAAGCCCTGGAAATACGACCCTAATGGCAAGGACTTGAGTACAATTTCTAGTGCGTCAAATTATACTCAAGTCTTAAGTTGAGCATTGAGTAGAGTTCTGGAATTTGCCCCATAGATACAAAAGTTGAAGTTGACATACATAGTTATTATTTTATAAATGAATGCTATTTTCATGAATAAATAATATATAAGTAATTGTAACTTTTAAGTTTCTTAAATATCACGATGTTGTAGTACCATGTTATTTAATTAGTTTTTGTTAAATTACTCCACTAGTTGGTTATAATTATTAACACAATGATCGAACACTAACAAAAAATCCTTTGGTCCGTCTGAATTTGAACCAGTGCCTTCCAGCAATCCGTTTTAGCTAGAAAAACAGGGGAGCAAATTATGTGACCCAATCTAAGCCAAATAATCAGTGATGTTTATAAGTACTTTCTTCTGTTTCAGGTTCATAAACTAATGTTAGAAGATAAATCACGAACAGAGACTTACCGTAATGCTATACTTAGCAACAAAGATTATTTCACAGACAAAATAGTGATGGATGTGGGTTGCGGAACAGGCATACTGGCTGTATTCTGTGCACAGGTGACACAACTGAGATATTATTATTAGCATATGACTTACTGAAGTTTTTGTGTAAGGTATTCTGCATTCAAAGGCCCTGATAACTGCCTGAGAAGTTCAGGCACTGGGCAGAAATGGCATTAGAATGCTGACTGGAGGCTTAACTGGTCATTGTAGCTTGAACAAGAACATATCAAATCTAGTAGCAGCAGAGCTCCTTGTGAAAGAGTGCGTCCAGGGAAGTACTGCCACATTACCTGTACGAGTGAAACCGTACATTTTTATGATTTACATTTGTTATTTTAATATGCACAAGTAAACCCGCACGATATCATAAGTATTCGATTTATGCTTACTGCAACACCACGCTGATCGATGTATATTTTGCAATAAATGAGTGTTATTATTGTCTCGTTCGGACACGGTCGTTTTATTTACGTTATTTAATAATACTCCAATCATTTGCATCTCTCTATCTCCTTGCATCGTCCTACTTGCATTTACATACATCCTGCAGTGCAACGTGTGTTAACGGCACATTACCTATAAATAATAATAAGTAAATAAATAATTTAGTGGCTGTCTACGTTTTTTAGTAACTACTTGCATTATGTAGCTTAATATTATCCTGTTCAAAAGCAGTGCAATTTGCTTTCCACTATTAAATATTGGTGCTTTGCTCAACTTTTCGTTTTATTTCAGGCGGGAGCTAAGAAAGTCTATGCTGTTGAAGCTAGCAGTTTGGCTAATATGGCTAAGGAGATTGTTAAGGAGAATGGATATGATGAAGTTATAGAAGTAAGTTTCTATGATTGATAGGCCTGTTCAGTAAATCGGAGAGATTTTTAGATACTCCAGGGCTAGCGTTGTATTTTCAATCGTTAATTTTTTTTAACTAATGTAAATACGAAGCGTATACCTTTAATTCGTGAAAGCAGCAAATAGGTAGAAACTATTGGTAATACATACTTCTGGAAAATTAGCTCCCTTCATGCTGAACAAAGTGGCGACCATCCATCCTGACGTCAGAATAGCTGGTCAATTTTTTTTAAATTTCTCGAAGGAATTTTTTCTGAGTGTTCTACACTTCTTAATTCCAGGTAATTCATGGTAAAGTAGAAGATGTAGAACTTCCAGACAACATTAAAGTGGATGCCATAGTCTCTGAATGGATGGGTTTCTACCTCCTCCATGAAGGCATGTTGGATTCTGTCATTGTTGCCAGGGACAAGTTTTTGAAGGAAGACGGCCATATATTTCCAAATACTGCTACCATCTATATTGCTCCATGTAGGTGAGATAAACTCTTTAAACCATAACATTAAACATAACTCAAAGTCGATTTCAGACTTGTAATGCTATGTATATAGCATATATATATGCTATATAATGTAATGTTTTAATTTATTCAAATTTCTATTATTAAATAATAAAAAATTTAACTTAATAAAAATTCATTCAATAAAATAATTCGTAAAACGTAATGTAGCGTAAATTACAATGTTTCCTTGTAAAATTAGAAATAAGGTATTTAATTAATAACTTTTAGGACTATGCACTAACGTCACAGTACATTTATGAAAATGTCATTTATGTTAATTATTATAAAATTATCATTCCAATCATAAAACCTGGGAAAGACCCATCTAATGCAAACTCGTATCGACCTATCGCCCTATCATCTGTTTTAGCTAAAATCATGAGAGCAAGGGATTGTTACCCAGAAGCCAGTTTGGCTTCCGAAAAGGCATGGGCACTATGGACAGTCTAAGCATTTTTACATCAGATGTTCGATTAGCCCTCTCCGAGGGAAAACACGTCATAGGTGTGTTCTTAGACATAACATCAGCTTATGATAACGTGAATCTTCCACTACTCTGGCAGAAGATGCTCAATCTGTGCATTCCTGTGAAGATGATCAATGTCATTTACAACATGTTTATGGGTCGCTCTATCGCAGTGCGTGTTAACGGTTCCACAACCCCCTCCCGTATGGTCTGGAACGGCTTGCCTCAAGGTTCCGTTCTTAGCCCTCTCCTTTTCAGCTTGTACACGTCTGACCTCGGCACTTCAGTCAATTGCTTCTGCAAAATCTTGCAATATGCAGACGATATCGCCCTGTACGCTTGTTCCAAATCTTTTACAGATATTGAAAGACGCCTCAACTCTGCCCTTTTTTACCTAGACTCTTGGCTTACCGATCACGGCCTCTCTCTTTCAGCTACCAAAAGCACAGCTGTCGTTTTTTCCCGCAAGAGACGCCTTCCTGAAACTGAAATACATGTTAATGGGGAAAACATAGAACTGAGGGAAAAAGTAAAATTTTTAGGCATTATTTTGGACTCAAAATTATCTGGCATCCATCACCTCAACTACATTTGTCAAAAAGCTGAAAAAAGCATAAATGTCCTACGTGCACTTTCTGGTGTTCGTTGGGGATCACATCCGTATAACCAAAAGCTCCTGTACAACGCAATCATCAGAAGTCATTTTGATTATGGCGGCTTCCTTCTGGAACCATGCAACAAACTAGCCTTGGCTAAGATGGACAGAATCCAGGCAAGATGCCTGAGAATAATCACAGGTACCATGAAATCCTCACCAACAAACGCTCTTCAAGTCGAATGTCTGGAGCCCCCTCTACATCTACGTAGACAATTCCTTGCTAATAGATTCCTCTTCAAGATCTTTCAATATTCTTCTCACCCTTTGCTTCCCGTATTGCAATCCTTGTCGGAGATTATCCCTTCCTCCAATTATTGGTCACACAAGAAACCTCCCCTTCTTATCAACAGTTTTAACAAAATTTCCAATCTCCCATTCCCTATTTACCAAAATTATATGAACCCGTTGTTTGAAACTGATTTTAAATGTTTAACGTTTCGCCCAACAGTCTATCTTAGTTTTGGCATCATGAAAGATACCCCTGGAGCAAACCAAGTCTTCAACGATATAGTTGAGAGAGAATGGCATGACTGGACTACTGTTTTTCACTGTGTTTCACTTTTCATCGGTAATTAAATATGTAATTTTGCATCATCCATTATAGCAAAGCTCAAGATAAACTGGTCGTATTGAAGTGAAACACTTGACGACACCCGTCAATTGTTTCCAATTCGGACTGGCCAGTCGGAGTGCAGTTGTCACCGTAATGATTTGTCAGAATAGTTTTCAAACAAATTAAATGACATTTCGTCTCTATTTCTGGTTATATATATATACTCGATGTTTGACTTTGACTTAGCTAGATTAACTCAATTCCGTTGGCTAGTCATCAATGTTAAAGTTACCCAGCTTATTTTGTTGCCTATTTCTTCTTCCACAGCGTACCATCGTTGTACAGCGCTTGGTCAGACGTTTATGGTGTCTCAATGGCCACATTCGCCAGGCATCTTAGGAGTACAAAATGTAAAAAGCCCGAGGTATTAATTGTGAAACCTGAAGACCTTCTAAGTGCAGAAGTCGCGGTGTGCTGGATCGATTTAAAAAATGACAAAGTCGAGGACTTGAATAGTTTTAGTATTCAGCAAGTTATACGTGAGTTTTTAAGCATTTTTTATTATTGTAACTTGTTTTTTAAAAGAACCAGACTTCAAAAATTTGCTTACCCGCAAAATTTTCCCGTGTTAATACGGTACATATTGCTTAGGCCGAGCGGCACTGGCTTTACTTCAGAATTTAATTTTTGTACACACGAAAGTAAAGCATTTGAAAAATTTATAGTATACTTACGTAATTGTTTTTTACTGTTCATCCTGTCGGTTACATCAAAATATATCTATAAAAAAATGAGTGAGAAACTTAGCTTTTTCTATTTGATGTAATTTTGGCGGGAAATGTCGACTCGCCCTTATACGTTATAGTAAAAAAATTTTTTTGCAATTAGAAACGCTGTTCAGGTAAAATGTCCCTAACGATAAGTCGGCGGTCATGGCTCGATATATATTTAAGATTCAATAAAACAGTGAAAGTGTGGAATGGCTTTTGAAAAAATATATAGTAAAATTGTGGATATACACTGATTAGTTATATGGTGTGAAAACACGATACCTAAAAATTTTCACTATAGAAAAAAAACATATACTTACACTTGTAATCCGACTGATTGCATGATTATAAGATAAAACAAAAAAATAATTGAATATGTCTATGTGCTTGTTGCAGATTTTTGTTTTGGTTTTTCACAACTTTTTTGCCTTAGCGCCATCTGTGGGAAATCTATTTCTACGCAAAAAAGTCGTTAAAAACCAAAAGAGATCTGCAACAAGCGCATGGAAAAATTTGTAGTCTTCCGATTCGTTCCGTTGCTTATTTGGCAGAGCGTTTAACACTGATTGCTGACTACCTATATAATTTCTTAATTCGCAGCAACAAAAACCAAAGGTCAATACCAAGGACTTTGTATATGGTTTGACTGTACCTTTCCCTCATTGACCAACAACCCCGGTGTGACCCTCGGAACTGGCCCAATGGACTTACCAACGCATTGGAAACAAACTGTGATAGTGTTACCACAGGAACATGAGGTTGATGAAGGCGAGCCTATAGCCTTTCAATTGGATATAAATAAAGATACTCAAAATTGTAGAAGGTAAGTTTGTCAAATTAAATTAAGTACTTTATTATCGTAGCAGTAGAACTTCTTGTGAAAAAGTTCGTCCAGGGAAGTTCTGCTTTCCTGTATTACTGCGTTCCGGTTTTAAAGGGTAAGGCCGGCCACACACAGTCGGAATTCCGTTTCGGAATATCTATTCGAGATTCCGTATATACATGACACAAATACGTTTATTTTCGTTCGGAATGACAAGACTCAGCTGAGAGAAACGATGCATTGAGTCCAGATGTTATATAGGAAATACGTATGGAATTTACAACTGTGTGTTGCGGCCCTACAAAATCTATGGAAGACTTGTATTTAGAACGGCTTATTCCGTGCGGAATTCCAAATGCACGAGCCATAATACTGAATTTCGAATCGGAAAAAAATTCGAACGAGATAGTACTGCATGTGTGTGCATCTCCATGTTTTGTATGGTTTTGCTGCCTTCGAAATTCCGAAACGGGATTTCGACTGTATGTGCCTAAGGGTGTTGGTAAAAACTACACGCACGTGGCCCGTAGTACAATCAAGTACACGTCAAGCTTGACACTTTGAACCGTTCTTATCGTAAGCGGCATAGAGTTGGATTTAAATCTTAAGTGTCAAGCTTGACGTGCTCTTGACCCTGTACAACAAAAATTTAAAAGTTATTTTTGGTTTGGTAAGTTATTTTTAAAGGTTGCATTTTCTTTTTTTTTACGCGCACATTCTCATAGCCCCGCACTAGGGAAACCCTGTATCGCGGGTGCCATGGACACACACGTAGACAACCCCAAATTACGACCAAACTCATGAGATAAATAAATGTAGGCCTACATATTTCTCCCGGCACGGGAATGGAACCCGGGACCTCTGCGTGGCAGTCCGACATGGTAACAGTTCGGCCACGAGGGCAGTTAATAATTTATAACGTTTTGTTAAAAGTTATGGAACAAAAGTTGTTGTGAAAGTCGAATTTACATTTGTCTGTCGGGTCGTGTCGTGATGCGTCAGAACTGTATCGGATTCATATACGTTTAATATGGTTATATTTTTATATTAGTGTGTCACAATCTGACGTGACGGTTTGTGTTGTGTATATGAAACACGACACGACACGTCAGACAAATGTAAATCCGGCTTTATGATATTAGTAATATAGTCCAATAAGAGATTGTTAGTATATTACAAATAACCCTGTAGGGTGATGGCACAAATGATCGACATTTTAAGGGTGTTTTTAAATTTAAAAATAACTTTTTTGTTTTTAAACATATTTCAGTAAGTGAATAGTTACTTGACAGATATAATCCTCAAGAAAGATTATGCTGTAGTATGTTTCATTAAAAAGCTATTATAAATTATTACTAAAAATAAACCTAAACTAGAATTTCTTTCAATCTCCAGTAATGAACCGATACCAACACTCACTAATAATGAACACCCATTAGTTGACCTTACAAATAAAAACATGTTACTATAATAGAATATTTTGTCATAAATCTTATTAGAAATTAATTTTAAAAAAAAGATGTCGGACACTGGCGCCACCACCCAAAAATGCAGCCAGGAAGCTTGGTCTCCTTTCCAAGGTGAGGCGTTACGTCACACCGGGACAGCCCCTTATTTTTCTACATTAGTTTTGATTATAGTGACCCTCCCTACCAACCCTTAGGGTACACGAGAAGGGCACTATAACCTGTGTCGCACAGGAACCTTACAAGTTCAGGTTCTGACCCCAGATCAACCAGTGTACAGGGTTGTCACAAACCTCTGTCATTGACTTCTTCCGGTTCTCGAGAGGCTAGTGCCTCGGGTGAGCCGCCCCGGCTGCACGTACAGTACCCTCCCTATTTTCCAGATAGGTACCGGAGCTATAGGCACGCTCACTTCCCGTAGCGCATTGCACAACTAGCTCTAAGCTGTCGACTGTAAAGTCCACTACCAAATCTCCTCATTGGTGGCGGAGCTGTAAGACACGCTCACTTCCCGACGCCGAAAAACGGCGTCTCTCCAGTTCCCAATAACCTAAGCGCCTGGAGGGACCGGAGTATATCTAGCTTATCCTCTACTAGATCCGGGCTAGTGCCGGAGATACCAGTCACAGTGTCCTGCGACAATAGCCGGACATAGCTTCATACCGGGACAGTTGCTTCAGCTGTACCAAGCACAATTCAGGTCGTGTATGGAGTACTGCTGCCACCTTTGAGATGGCTCTGCTAAATACCAACTGGCCACCTTCGATTCAATTGACAAGCGTGCCAAAAGGCTTAAAGGTGACTCAGAATTAGAGGAGGCGAAGCTGCGTAGCGAACCTTTCCATCATCGACTAGACGTGGGCTGGGGTTCCACCCCTATGTTGTGGACATTCCCAGGATTCACACGAAGCGTCTCGCTTCCACGTTTACCTATATGGCGAGCGGCTAAGGAGTGGAATTCTTATACACTTATTCCTAGAACGCTATAACTTGGACCTTTTCATTGGTTGGAGGTCAAATGCGAACCTGTTTCTGTATAAAAAAAAGTCTATATCTGTAGACCATTAGGCCGCTATTATGTGTCATTTGTTTTATTTATGTCAATTATTTCAGGTATAATCTACAATTGACACTCGTAGATCCAGAAGAAGTCGAACATCCGCTTCCGTGTGATTGCCATTACACAAAATGTATCCTAATTAAAACCTACATGTTGGCACATCCGGAAAGGGATGTACCTTGCAATGGCATCGTTGATGAAAGTGTTCCAATGCTGGAACAGGACGACGGAATCGTCGAGGAAAACATTGATGACGACGGCTAAATATATTTTTTTATTGATGATTTGCAGTTTTACTAACAACCTTGCACCTAAGGTCGCATGCAAATTAGTTGCACTGGCGCGACTGAAGACCTACGCATCTTTTTTCTTTTTTTCTACACACATAAGCGTGAAGCACACAGCGTCGGGTCCGCGGCAGGTCTGATATACGGACGACACGACGGACCCGGCTCGGGAATCGAACCCGGGATCTCTGCGTGGCAGATAAGCATGATAACCGTTCGGCCACGGAGGCAACGAAACAGCATTTGTAGCGCTTCAGTAATTCTTTGTTCACTAATTGTGACTGCTAACTGCGCTTCTGAGAGTCGTATTCCAGAACTCTACTCAATGCTCAAGTCAGGACTTGAGTATGATTCAAAGCACTAGAAATCATACTCAAGTCTACTCAAATCCTGACTTGAGCATTGAGTAGAGTTCTGGAATACGAACCTAAGTTTTGTATGAAAATTAGTGACGCTACTGCAGTGCTTCCACAAACGCCAAAGTTGAAGGCGCCTAAGCGTGCGTCCACAGTGAATGCGCGGTGACCAGGGCCTGTGGCGGGCGCGACGGCGGGGGCGTGCGGGTGGCCACAGTCACGTGCGAGCAGTTGTAGCGTTAAGACGTGTTTCAGGTGTTACCAATCATGGACGAGGATTTGTTATTTTTACTAGATAGTCCGATCTTGAGATGGGAGGTGTTGAACACGAGAGATGGTGTGCATATATTATTAAACTTACCTTCACTTCCAGGAAATTGTTCTTTTATTTCGTTCCATAATTTTCTTGTTATTGTGCGATTACTGTGGTGTAAATGTTTACTTTGCCAGATAGCTGGTTTAGATTGAATCGCACTTATAAACACTTCAGTATTCACCGTCATTTTGCGCCATGCGAGCGACAAGTTTGAACTGGTTTGATACCCCCGCCACCCGCGCGTTAGATCGCTTACTGTCTAGGCTCGTAGTGCGGCCATAACGCACGGATAGAAACGTTTAAAAACCACGCGCGCTATCTCGCTCAGGCCCGTCGCGCGAGGCGCCCGCCTTAGTCACTACACTATGGACGTAAACGGCGGTTGCATATGTTTGATACTTCGCGCCCGTAGTCGCAAACGCACTAGGCTGGCAATGTGGACGCACACTAAGGCTTCCACTGGAGATGTGCGAGGTAGCGAGGCGGTGTGCGATAAAAAATTGTGACCGTCAGGATGGCTGGTCGCCTGTCGCACCGGGCACTGAGTGTATATTCAAGAATTGCTACCTTTTCTAAATATTTCTTCTATTTCGTAAATATTTTTTTTCAATCGTTTATATTTTTTTAACTAATGTAGATAGGAAGCGTATACCTTTAATTCGTGAAAGTAGCAAATAGGTCGCAATTATTGGTAACACATACTTCTGGAAAATCTGCTCCCTTCATGCTGAACAAAGTGGCGACCAGGCACCCTGACGTCAGAATGGCTGGTCAATTTTTTTTTTTAATTTTTCAGAATATATCAAAGGTAGCAATTCTTGAACATACACTCAGTGCCAAATGCGACGGGCGACCAGCCATCCTGACGGTCACCAGCAAGTAACCATTCCAGTTTATTAAAATGTATAGGATTTGGTCTTTCAACGACTTTTTAGCGTAGCGCCATCTATGAGAAATCTATTGCAGATTTATCACCCAGTTAGTACCTTTACAGCTACCAGTCGGATCGAAGGAATTTTTTCTGAGTGTTCGATCTTTGTGTTAATAATTATTACAAACTAGTGGAGTCATTTCACAAAAAATAATTGAATATCAATTCAATAACAATTTAATTAATACAGTGAATAGCGACATCTCTCGCCAGGACTGGTAGCTGTAAAGGTACTAACTGGGTGATAAATCTGCAATAGATTTCTCATAGATGGCGCTACGACTAAAAAGTCGTTGAAAGCCAAGTACAAAGACACGACGCAAGCACATAGAAAAATGTGTAGGATTTTTAACGAAAATCATACTCCACCCAGTCTTTGATTTTTCCTGCAAAAATATTCGGCTAATTTATAACCTTCTATATGTACACAAGACTGATCGCCATCTTTAGGAACGTTTCGCTGAAACCATAGTACATGCGGAGCCGTATCTGCGAGCGAATCTATGTAAATGTCAATTTCATTTAGTTACGAGCGAATACTTCTGGATATTCATATGGAAAACCTTAAAACTTCCTTTATTTTTATTCACGGAAAAAACTATGGTTCTAATTCCCTTCGCTGTAATTCAAATCGCAATACTTACCACTATTACAAGTTATCTTAACATGTTTAAAGTAGTCTGTTATCCTTGTCTGGCAAGGATCTTTTGAATTAGTCGGTTTATATATATCGACTCCTCCTACGTAAAGTATCGTATGTCGAAATTGCCAAGTTTACAGGGGAGCGTTAAGTTTTGAATTCATTGAAATGATTATAACACGTGACTTGTGACAATTAAATTGTAAAATGATAAAAAATAATAATAGTTGGTCATCTAACCGATATCTAGGATTTTATAATACTCTGTGAGAGTTTTGCCGAATAAAACTGAGAAATAAAGTCACGTGTTATGCTCATGTCAGTGAATTCAAAACTTTAAAACGCTCCCCTGTAAACTTGGCAATTTCGACATACGATACTTTACGTAGGAGGGGTCGATATTTTAAATATTAGATGTGCGATTTAAAGATGAGATCATTGCCGAGTACATGTTATGAATTTTATATTTACGATTGTTATAATTTAAATATGTTCTATTATAATCTCTAGTATTAATATACTTGTTCAACGCAAGCACTTTGTCCACAGAACCCCTGCACTTAGTCAAATCAATATAACAGCAGTTGTCAAAAGAAGTTAACAATATTTTTAAAGAACTATTTAACATGTTCTCATTAAGATGTGGATTTTTATCTACACTCGTAACTATTTTTGTATTAGAAAGTTCACTGAGTCTGCAATTAGTTTAGTGGGAGTACAGTCATTTGAACTAATTGAAATCACTACATAGTTGTCTTGCTTCAGGTTTTTTATAGTTTTAGCACTCATTGCTATGACATATTTAGTAACGGCATTTGGCTTGATGTTACCAAAAATGCTGTAATCATGTACGTACATTTCTGCGTTCTTTTGGTCTACAATTGAAGGAGAAATCTGAAAACATACCTTCAGCTGAACGTATAACCTCCTTTATTTCCAAATCGGTTAAAAATAGGAGAAGTAAGACAATAAGTTTTCTCCAAAACTGAATAAAATTGACGTATGAGAGTATTCGTCCTGAGTTTGGATTGATAAACCACAGAACAATAAATACAGTAGAAATGCTTATTTTGCGTGACACGTGTGCTAACAATTCGCGGAGCTCCGCAAACCTAAGCTCAATCCGCTGTTTTCGCTATGTTCATGTCAATTTTGAAATGACATGAACGTAACGTATAAAATGCCCTTTTAACCCTATGTAAGTTGTAACCCGAAAGTAAACATTATACCGCTGCAATATGGTAGCTTCTTTTTTGGAGAACTAAGTAAACATTTCGAATTCGTCGTCGTTCAGCTATTAACCGCTAGATGGCAGCATAAAATCAAAACGTAACTTGCAATAATGTGTCTTGATGGTATTGAACTTTCAACGACATGCCAACGAGGTAAAATTTTAATTATATTTAACAGTCGAATTCATTATTAAGATTTCATAGTGTTAAAAATTAATTTTGGCAACAACGTTTCTAATCCTCAAGGTTTCTTAGCTCCACTCAAAACGTCTTCTCTGCCAAGATTTTTTAACACTGTGGGAGTGGGACAGACGCCCCAAGACCATTTTATTTATTTTTAGATTGAGCGCCATCTAGTTAACTAACGTAAACAACAACAAATACCTTCATTATCATAATGATCCTTGATAACACCAATACCACTTTAGATAACGACACGAGTTTAGAAGTCAATGAAATAACAGGTGTAAATTCCAAAATATATTGATTTCCAAAGTAAATATTTAAAACAATGTATCACAATGATATTAAAGTATTCATACTTGGAAGTACTTTGTGTCTTAATTTTTTTTAATAAACATCATATCAACTAGCATTACTTACTTACACTGTTCTTCGAACACCTGTCCATGTTCAATACCATAAAATATTTTATTATCTTTTACATAAGCCCATGACATTCTTTTTGAACTAAAATGAACACCAACTTCTCCTTTATTGGAAAGAGTTATTGCACCTGCCGTATTATTCAGACGTGCCGTCATTGCTAAAATTTAGATTTATTATTGATAATAGAGTAGAAATTAGTAATAAATATTATGTAGGTATTTTTCTAAATATTCTTTATACCATTGACAGCATTTCTCGTCGCAGTGTTTGCATCAGCACCACCTTCCATGAGCTTGATAATACTATGAGCCAAGCAGAATTTAAGAATTGATTCGCCGTGCCCTAAAACCATAACAATGAAAGATATAAATCACATCAACATGATATTTATAGGATTTAGTTCATAAATTTAAGTTACTTTCACCTGTGGTTGAAACACCTCCTATTTTATCATCTGCGTAAGTTCCGCTACCAATCTGAGGTGTGTCGCCAATGCGACCAACTGCTTTACCGCTCATACCACCTGTGCTAGTGGCTACAGCAACGCGCCCTTCCGCATCAATCGCCACAGCTCCTACAGTGCCGACTCCTCCCTTTCAAAGTTAATCAATTTTGTTGGATATTTGTAATTTTGTTGTGTTTAATTACATCAATCCAATGCTTACTTCATCTTCAGGTCCAATCTCCGTCCTACCAAATTCTCCATGTTTTAAGAACTTTTTCAGTGCTTCTCTGGCATTCATGCTAATCAGAGAGTCTGAGGGCACAACTTTAAAACCCTGTAAGTATTATTAATTAATGATTTTAAAAAAATAATAAAATTAATTAGGTAATTAATAGATTCAGGCGTTACTTTGTGGAAGTCGATGGTAATAAAAATAGAAGTACATTAATTTGCTACTCTACCTATTTGGTGTTTTAAAACAGATGGAAATAATTAGCTACAACAACAGGGGTTGTATAATAAATGAACAATTTAATTTTGCATCATCACCTTTATTGCAAGTATTTTTGAGTTTCAACAATAGTAACACTGGGGGTAGGGGTATAAATATACCAACTGTTCTGAATGAGCTCATTCTTCGGCCGAGCATCAGCGATTAACAGCCTTATATTTTTGGTGGTGGTTTGTGACTGTAGTTGCGCTTGTGTTATTTATTTTATTAATTATATGTGGAGGGAGGGTGGTATAATTAACTGCATGAGAAAATATTCAACACAAGCGCAGCTATTTTGCATTATTTAACTTTCATTAAGGTCACGGAGTAGCAAATTAATTTACTTCCATTTTTGGAGAACTACAAATATGTGTACCTTTTCTAAAGCAAATAACTTTGCACCTTCACCACCTAATAAAGAGTGAGGGGAGTCTGTCAACACTTTGTGCGCAATGCTTATAGGATGTGAAAATTCTTTTATTAGTGTTATGGCACCAACATCAAGATTTGTGCCACTCATCATACTGGCTTCCATTTCTACTTCACCTTGCAAATTTAAAACTGATCCATATCCTAGAAGTACCAAAGAAAAAATAATTCTATGAGTATGAATACATTTTTATTGGTAATATTATATATATCAAACACCTTAGCCGCAGCTTACTTGGATCCAAGACCCACCCAATACCGGTTCTAATGGATGGCCAATAAAGATGGTTAAATTTTATGTATTTATTAAGGTCCATCAACAATTGTTACAACAACATTATGAGTGGTTACTATTGCAAGGGTAAGTATTATACTAATTGCACATTTTTTTACAGACAAACACAGCATGCAAGTAAATTAGTGGACATTGAGTAGTCCATAATGGATATGGGCTGTACTCATATTTATGGATACATTTTGATAGTAAACAAAAAGAAACAAAATAAATAAACCTAAAATGTAGTACTATATTGCACTGCTATTACAACAGTGTTGTAACTCAAAATATGTGAAATCGAATATTATATCATTACTGAACGTAAAATTTGATTCTCGACACTTCAAAAAAACCATCATTAGAATATTGTAAGAAACAATCAAAAGATATCTACTTAACACAATATGAGACTTTATGTGAGCTAGTTCTGGCCAAAATAATCCTTATTCAAAAACATGAAATTAATTTCTCCATTTTATTGGTAAATATATTTGAGAAAATGTTTAAGTGTCTATAATAAACTATAACATATAAATTTTAATGATTTTGCGGGAAGTGAGTAATTCGTTTTTCGTCGATTCTGAGAAAGTCCTATTTTTGAGTTAATACACTATTTGTACTATTTGTATTAACAGTGCGTAATTATATTGCGACTAAAGCTTATAAAACTTAAAACAAAAAAAGATAAATAAAAATAAGTCACGATAACGTGATAGAACTAGGAAATTTAATCAATTGTTCACAACTTACCAGCATTAAAGTTGTCGTCTTTTTCCATAGACACTACTGCTGCCTCAACTGCATCAAGAGCACTGCCACCTTTGTTTAAGACCTCTTGACCTGCGGTTACTGCAACCTTAACTCCGTCCAATTTACCTTGCACCCTACTATTGGGAATATCTCCTGCACCGCCGTGCACTATAATTATCGGTTTCATTTTCTACAAAAACAAAAAGCAACTATCTAATATTACAAATGTACGAGTAACTGAATATTACAAATGGTTCTTAAATAATAGCCTGTTTAATATAATGTACGTGAATAATACTGAAATGTAAGGCTGATAAGATAATAATGACAATTTAAGTCTAAAGGCAAACAGCCGTTATCATAAGATATTTACCTTAGAAGTACCGTTTTACGAAAAGAACCCGTTAATTAAATTCTACTGTTAACTCTATTTTCTATTTCTGACCAAAACAAACACAAAGTTTTAAAAATTAAAAGTGGAACCACAGACTACTTTTTAAAAAACCAAACACGTATATCTTTTTTTTATTTTGGTATGGTAGAACTTCGCGGTTGTGTTTGTGCCATTGCAAATTGCAAAACGGGGAAATAGACGAGGAAAAAGGAGTGGCCTTCTAGGACGTGCAGAGTTTAATCACGATGTTTTTCTTCACCGAAAAGCTGAATGCTGAATTTGAAATCGCACATAAATTTCGAGAAACTCAGAGTACATCACCCTTGACACTTAAGATTTAAATCCATCTCTATGCCGCTTACGATAAGTACGGTCCAAAGTAAAAAGTGCCAAGCTGATGTGCTATACTTAGTAAATTCGCTGAAGTTTATGTTTTAATTTTTAAATCAATTACTCTATGTCGATATCATAGATAGATGGATTAATTATAATTGTCTTCGCATAATTTCAAACAACAATCATTTTGTCAATATTTCAATGTACAGTCGGTGCCCTCACTTATGTACCCACTATTTGTATAGCACTTAGTACAAATGGTGGATACTTAAATGAGGGCACCGACTGTACATTGTTGTCATTGCAGTGATGTTCCTGTGTAAAAGCACTAGTTTTAAGCTATTATGTTCGATATTTAATATGTAGTGTTTTTTTATGTGGAATGGCCTGAATAAATAATAAAGTAATAATAAGACGTATGTGTAAAAAATACAAATCTGTCTTTTTTGACGACAGAGTAAAATGACATTTGCAATATTGCCAGTTTTTCTAAAATTTCCAATAGTCATGTAGCTGTTGCCGACAGTTTTATCAATTAATTGTGAAAGAAGGTAAAATTTTGCCATAAATTTTAGAATTGTGAATGTTACGACGTTCTAATGGTTATTATAAAAAACCAGTATCGCTGCCGCTCGCACTAAGCAAAATGAACCTTATTATTACGGAATTAGTACGGGAGGAATTTGAATTCGAGCTGAGGTAAAATAGTCTCTTAAGACTTGAAATGAATTTCTGCAAATTCAATTGTTCAAGATGTTTGCCGGTTTCTGTAACTCGGTACAAGTGCAATTTCAGGCGCGAGTAACTTCAGCACACAATATTTCTTGAAATGTATATTGACTTGACTAGGATTTTTTTGTTAACAACGTAATAAATCCTTACTGAATTTTATATTAAAGCTTAAGTGTACGTGACAGGATTCGAACCCACAGCCTCTGCTTGGGAGGTGATAGGACAAATCATTAGGCTATCGCGTCTTTTCCATGTTTAGAGTTGCAACGAATATTTGATATACGGTCTGCTTTTTGCTTCTTCGCCAGCAGCTAAAAACAAGAGGAAGAAATAAGAAAAAACACAGTAAATTATCGTAGGTATTCAATTTTTATTAATGCTGAACTTATATTATAACGTCGAGTGCATCATTGTAAGTTCACGATAGCGCAATTTTTCGCTTCTTTATCTAAAAGGTCAAAGGAGATGTAACATAATATAAGTTAAAAATAACTGAAAGACCCAAAAAGTAATGTAAATTTAATAATGAATATCAAGAAATTAATATATATGTATTTGACAATAAGGCATTCCGGTTCAAATCTGCCATTAGGAAGCTTTTATTTTATTAACATAATTTGTAATCGATCGTAGGAATTTTTCTAAGTACCCCTCAAAAAGTGGCAGAAAGTTATGTTCGAGAAATAACGCTAATAGCGCCTCCCGTCCTATATGCTCTAAGGGTAAGATACTGGTTGTAGGTACTGGTTTTTGAAAATACTAGTATTCCAAGACTTGAATTCAGAAATGAAAAAGGAAGTCAGATTTGCCTCAGCTCTATTATCCGAATGGAACTGAGGCATATCTGACTTCCTTGCTGTAGCAACATTGATTAAAAGTCCAAGTGACACTATTAAATTGATAAAGTGATACGCGCCTTTGATAAACATTCATTCATCCGTTTTGTTCCATTCACTCGCGGAATGTCAGTTCATCAGTTGGTGATTGATACTGAGTTATGTCAAGATCAGTTCATGAAATTCTACGTGCATTGTTTTGCGTTATAATTTAGCGGAATTTTTATTTATTCAACAGCTATTTAGAATACCAAATTACAATAAAATCATTAATTTATCACTACAAGTATTTTCGTATGGTGTATTATTCACAAAGTGCGAGAAACAGCGTTTTTCAAACTTTATAAACTTGTAATTTTGCGTGATTAATAATTTCTAAACAGGATGTTATCAACAATTTGTGAGTTTCTCTTCTTTGTTATTGTTTAATTTTTAATAATAATGATAATTTCTAGACTGTGACTGTAACTTTTTCATCGGTAATCGGTAAATAATTATATCATTGGATGACTAGCAAATTATCATGCGCATAATTTGTTTTATAAAAGATAATATTTGCATAGATATAGACACTTATTTCTTTAACCAGTTCATGGATAATAACGCCGCTTACCGTAAAATTAAATATCAGAATATGATAGTACCTATGGGGGCATCGAGTATATAACCAGAAATAGAGACGAAATAAGGGCCATCCAGCCCTAGCAACTCATCAGGCAAATGCGCCTTATATCACTTTTAAATATCAACTCTCGTTTGAGCTGAAATCACAAATTAGAAAACTGAAATAGTACAGCGCCAACAAATGACCTGTGTGTACGTCTCTGTATATTCCAAAAATATTCTGTATTTATTGTAATAAACATAATATCTGTAACTATGTGTAAAAGATAATATCTGTAACTAAGTGGGGCAAAAACAGCAAAACATCTAATTACAAAAGAAACGGAATCACATTTAATCGGTAATTAAATATTAAATATGTAATTTTGCAATTTTATAGCAAAGCTCAAGTTAAACTGGTTGATTTGAATTGAAACAATTGACGACACCTGTCAAGCACTTTGAATTCGGGCTGGCCAATCGGAGCGCAGTTGTCACCGTAATGATTTGGCAGAATAGTTTTCAAACAAATTAAATTACATTTCAACTCTATTTCTGGTTATATACTCGATGGTACGGGGTAACCTGTCTTGCTATATGCATCTCAAAAAATCTTTACATTGTGTTTCCCAAGTGCTTTCTATGTAGTTGCAGCGTACTGCTTCTCTTCATAGAAGTATCAACAACCTACTGATAAAATTTAAAAATTAAAAAAATTTTTAACATTAGATGTTAATTGAAGTTATATTAGCCAATTATTCACTTTAAAATGCTTACTACTTGCAATAACTGTCACATTTAAATAAGTTACCGATTTGACTTGAGTATAATCGATTAAAGAACAAAATGACAACACTAAATTATATTGGAGGAATTAATAAAGAAAGAAAGGGGAAGAACAGATTAGATTAGCTAGTGCCAGTTAGTGCTCCTTGTGAATATAGTGCTCTGTGAGTTTGTGCGATGAACGAGGGAGATTCAGTACCTTACGATACAGAAATACAGAACCTCTTGACCGGCAAAGGCTACAAACATTATTCAAAACACAGTTATCGAACATCCTATTGTTTACAAAGCAAGAATTTATATAAAAATCTCTTATTACTTTAAATAGTCTGGATTTTGTTTTTATTGATTTATTTTAATGCAAGACTAATGCATTCCTAATTTTAGGCCTTTAATGTCTTAAATTCTATAAAATGGCTTAAATGGCTCCCAATCCGTCAATGCAGGCAAAAGAGCTTACTCTACAAGTTGCACTCCATTGGTTTCAATCCTTATTATCCAGAATACTTGAAATGTGACTTTCAGTACCTCTGTGACTCCATTAACTCTCTTTCACTCTCTATACCTCTGTCATTCTGCTTTCATGTCTAATTCCTTCACTTTCCATTCAACACATTTCTGGAATGCTCTCCAACAGAAGGTCTCCTAAAGGTAGTCTTCTAAATGGCTTCTTTTAAATTGTTTGTCACAGCGATAATCATCATTATCTTCAGTTATTGTATATGTATATATTAGGTTTGTTGGTTATATACATATATGATTAATTAAAATTGAAATATTTATTACATTTATGTTATTAATTTAATATTTTGTTTAATTTACCGTGTTGGTGAATTTTGTTTTCCTCAAAGGTTGACTGGTTGAGAATGCTTTTAGCATTTAGTCCGCCTTTACCATTGTGGCCAATAAAGTTAAATATGGAAATAAAAGGATTTTAATTTTTCTTATAATCTATTTATATGTTTATTTATATATGTTGAGTGTGTGCGTTATTATTATTACTTCACCGACTAACTCGGTAAACGCTGGTGGATAACGATATCGCATCTGAATCCAAATAGAACGCTTAACTGAGTAGCCCGGAGAGCGCCCTTCGATTCGAGAACGATATCCAATTGAATGATTCGATTAAAATATCGAAGAGTTCTGAATAGGGGTCCTGGTTGCGCTGGCCGTCAGCGTCACCATGTCAGTCAGTCCGTAACCATGGCCAGTGCAAGCTGGCCGAAACGTCGAAAGGATGATTTATTTAACTACACTATTATCTTATTCAACGACCTTGGTGGGCGCTAGATGAGGAGGTACCGGGTTCAATTCCCAGTGGAATCAATTTGGGAAATAAACTTTTCTGTTTTGGAGAAAAATGCCTGCAAAGTTTTTCTTATTTTCATTTTTTTTTCATCAAAATATTAATTACAATACGTACCTTTTTCAAATGAATTTAAATGTAGTGTAATGTAGAAAATGAAACAATTTTTTTGGATCTAAATCGGGCTGACCACGGGACCTGTATGGTCGTGGTTTGTTTGAAAAAATAAATATACGCAATATAAATCTGATAATTAATTTCATTTCTTGTGTGTAACAATAATGAAAACCTTAGCACTCAATATGAAGCATAATTATAACATAGGAAATGAAACTATTTTTCCGGATTTAAATCGCGTATATTTGTTTTTTCAAACAAACCGACGTTTCGGGCCCTTTACAGGTCCCATGGTCACGGTTGACATGGTCAGTCACGGTTGACATGGTCAGTCAACCGTGACCATGACCGGAAAAATAGTTTCATTTCCTATGTGTATCAATCGCGAAAACCTAAGAACTCGATACATAATTATAACATTTAATCATTGACTTACAATTATATAGACGTCGGGTCCGCGCTAAAGTGTCCGAACTTACAGGGCGTTAAAATCGTATACAGAGCGTCATTCACGCTTTAGTCTTCGTTTGTTCCTTCTGACAGCGAAGCAAGCAAAATTAGACAGTACTGCGATGACATTACAATTTAAATTCAACGTTTTAGCTTTTTCATATTCCTTTACATGTCACTACGTTTAAATAGGTTGACTTGGGACACTTTTTTCGTGGTTTTTGTATTAGACCCGTCGTCCATTTATTTGTAAGTCAATGCATTTAATGGAGTTTTTATGTTGTTAACCACAGATCGCAGTATAAAGCAGGTGCCATGGATGTGTGCTTCGTACAGCGCAACATCACAGTCAAGTAAACCTAAGACTGCAATCATAATGCTTAATATGGGCGGGCCTAAAACCACTGACCAGGTAATATTTAATATTTCTATAAATAGCCTGAATAGCGTCTTTGATGCATTTGTAATGTGGGGTTGGTGTCGAATTGGTCTAATACAATACTATAATCTATAAAAGTAATCTAAAAAAACATCACACGAGTGTTTTAATGCTTAATTATGTACAGTTACATACACTGCTTTATCTATGCACATATTATAAGCTCTCTATTATGTGTTCAGGAACCGCATTTTGCGACTGGCCAAATGGCGACAAATAAAAACTTTTCTCACGCATGTCACACAATCATAGTTTTTATTTAAAACGTGTAAACGCTGTCAAAATTGTTTTCTATTGACATTTCATTTCGAATAAAACTTCATCACGACTGATTCTACGTCGAATCAAGTTGTTTTGTTTTTCAGAGATGTTCGAAATTTGAATGTAATAATAAAATCGAATTTGATGTTATTATGAAGCAATAGGTCAATGGAAGCAATAATAACATTTTCACAGATAAGAAATTTGTTCTAACAAAACAATTGACTTACAATTATATGGACGTCGGGTCCGCGCTAAAAAGTGTCCGAACTTGTAAGGCGTTAAAATCGTATACAGAGCGTCAAACTCCGCTTTAGTCTTCATTTGTTCGACTGACAGCGCGATACTGCGATGACATTACAATTTAAATTTTGAATAGGTTGACTTGGCACATTTTTTTCGTGGTTTTTGTATTAGACCCGTCGTCCATTTATTTGTAAGTCAATGAACAAAACAGTATCTTTATGCTGGTAATTTGCGGTTTTTGAACACGTCATAGAAGGTTTATGATGTGTGTAGATAAAGACTATCAACAACTGTCCAGTATTATCAGTAGAGCTCCTTGTGAAAGAGTTTGTTCATGGACATACTGTCACCTTACCTATTGCTACTGCCAAACAGAAATGTTCGCATTACTGCATTCTGGTTTGATATGGGATGCTCGTGAAACATGGGACTTAACAACTTATCTCACGGTGACAGCCGGCAGTAGCAATGCTCCTCAGATCTTTGTGATATAAAGCTCTGTGTGGCCCTGCAACTGCTATGGACAGGCGTCTCGCTTACCACCAGGCGCACGTCTTGAAGTCGGTTAAAACAAGAGGGAAACAGAATACAGACAAATGAAACAAGAAGAAAAAGAATAATAAAGACTATTTATTTAGATGGCCCAGTGTTCGATCCGTAACATCTCTTCTGCAGGAGTGGTCGGTCCATAACAAGTGTAGAGAAGCAACGTGAAAGACCTAAACGGATCACTCCAATGGCATTCCATTTACCTTCTGAACTATCTTCCTCAGGTAGGCGACTATCTCCACCGAATAATGACAGATCGCGATATGATTCAATTGCCCGTACAGAATAAACTAGGGCCATGGATAGCGAAGCGGAGAACGCCTGAAGTTACCAAAAAATATGAAGAGATAGGCGGAGGGTCGCCTATATTAAAATGGACACAAACTCAAGGTTAGTGCTGTTACATTATCATCATGATCATCATCATGGCGGATGTTTCATTATCCAATCTTGGATGTAGGCCTCTTCCCTCTTCTTCCACTCTTGGCGATATTGTGCCCGATTAATCCAGCCCCGACCGCCGTGTCGTCGGATGTCGTCCAACTCTGATGTCTGAGAGACTGGAGATCCAGAGCGGACATCAGATTACATTATGTTATTAAATGTGGAAATTTGATTTTGTTATTCACCTGATTTTATACAACCTCAAATGGCTTTGGTTGATCCCGCATAACAGCGGAACTGTTGAATCAATCACTTGGGGAAAAAAATATAATAAAATTGAGGATATATAAACATGATTCTTAAAAACTTTCACAATAGAAAAAAAACCCCAAACTTACCTCGAAATTTTACAAGAAAACCGCTGTATTCAATAGGTGCTGTACTAATGATTTTTTTATATCAACTTTTTTTTTTTTTAATTTATTTCCAATCAACTAAGGTATATTACAATCACAATTTTACAACATTTAAAAACCATTAAGGTTCGAGTCAATGCTGTTATTAATCTACATCGAAAAAACATAAACGGTATTATAATAAAATATATGAAAGTATATGTATACACATACCTATACTACTTAAACTACACCACTACAAAATTACACTACTGTACTATAGAAATAAAATATTCTTAATTAAAAACAAATAAGACCAGAAAAGCAAGGCTGTGGTAATTTCTACTCTGCATTTAAATTGTTTAAGAAATAAGTTTTAAGTTTCGATTTTATATTAATTGTCGTGATATTTTTTTTTAATTCGGAGGGTAATTCATTAATAACTGTACTGAATAGAACACGTATACTGTATGATATACATTTTTCAAACGGCTTTAATATCGTTTGTAAAAAAATAAACTCTAAAATAATGCCAGTCTCCTTGCCGGCCAACTAAAGCTAAGTGAACCGTATTAGTACGGGAAAAATTTGAATTCAAGGCGAGGTAGTATGGGCTCTTAAGTATAACTTTTAATTTAATGTGTATGATATAATGAGTCACATCTAGTATAAGCAGTGGGCGTAGTCTGTATATATCCATGGTAGCGCTAATAGTTAGCACCTGAGATCTTTTGATTGATCTACTGTTTTTGTTAGCTTTTTTAAAAATTGTAATAATATGTCGCTAAAAAAAGATGATAAACAAAGGCAAGTTATTGTACTTCAAAATTCTTATAAGACTGTTCTTCCTAGAGCTGAAAACAAATTGTTCACTTTAAAGCACCGCTTTGAGCGGGATAGTCCCGCTTTTAGTCTTTGTGTCCCGCTGTCCCTAAAATACTCGAAAAGGTCCCGCTATAACAAAATAGAACACGTGATAATTTAAAAAGATGGTGCGAAAGCATTCGTAACTATCATAAACATGTGATTTATTTTCAAAACAACAATAAATTTACAGGCGTAGGCGTCGCGCCCTGGGGGAAAAAAATATGGTCACCTTACTGATCAATACGTCACCTACAAATATTTTAACTACGAGACGTTGTGAATGGAGAGACGATTTATTTACTCATTGTGTTTTAGGTAAATTGCTAACAGAAGAATTGGACAAAGTATCAAAATTGACAGCTCCACACAAGCCCTATGTAGCGTTTAGATATGTACCCCCGTTTACTGAAGAAACATTTGAACAGATAGAAAAGTAAGTTCCTTTGCCTACATTCTGTACTGAACACATGCGCACCGTTATCTGCAAATAATGGTTTTCTCCATTCCACTATTTTCATGTGCGTTATATTGAAACAACCATTGTTAAATGCCATGGAGTATATAACCAGAAATAGAGACGAAGTATAAGGGCCATCCATCCCTGTCAACTCATTAGGCAAATGGGCCTTCTATCACTTTTAAATATCAACTCTCGTTTGCGCTGAAATCACAAATTAGAAAGCTGAAATAGTACAGCGCCAACAAGTGACCTGTTTGTACGTCTCCGTATATTCCAAAAATATCCTGTATTTATTGCAATAACGATAATATCTCTAACAAAGCCGTGTTGTTCTATTTGGTGGCGTGGGAAAAACAGCAAAACGTCTAATTACAAAACAAACGGAATCTCATTTCATCGGTAATTAAATATGTAATTTTTCAATTTTCGTCCATTATAGCTAAGCTTAAGTTAAACTGGTCGATTTGAAGAGAAACAATTGACGACACCCGTCAATTGTTTCGCATTCGGGCTGGCCAATCGGAGCGCAGTTGTCACAGCAATGATATAGCAAAATAGTTTTCAAACAAATTAAATGACATTTCGTCTCTATGTCTGGTTATATACCGTAGCATGGGGGTGCAGAGGGGGCTATGGCCCAGAGCGGCTTAGCAATGGGGGCGCCGGGGGTGAGCGCGGCCGAACCTTAATTAGTAAAAATATATATTTTTTAATTTAAAATTAGAAAATAAATACACCTAAGTACCTCTAATTGACAAAACTATATCTCGAACAACACAAAAATAGCAACGGTAGGTGAACATAAAAACACAATCGAGTCTAGCCTGCCCGAACGAAGTACTTTTGTAATCGTGAAAATAGACGGGGCAGTCAATTTAAGGTTGTTCCCGGGCGACAGAAGTCGACGCCACGTCGCTGCCTTGGTTGTAGTGATGGACAATAGTTACTAAAAATAATCTATATATTCGATTATAAACATAATCGAAATAATTCGATTGTTGATATCAATTAGTTACTACACCTCACTTTTTGATTGTTCAATCAAATTTTGATTGTTGATCCAATATTGTAATGGAAATAGAAATAGAAACCATTTATTGCAACGCCACATCATAAAAAAAGGCACAAAAAGAGACTAATATAAACAAAAACAAAAATAACTAAAAAATCAGCGCAACAACATTTAAACAACAAGTTACGTAGTACTATGTGTGCGGCTGTGTGTATGCAAAAGGATCCCATTCAGATAAAGTTACAACCACGACTAGGCTGTGACCCTGGTTTTCAATGGGCCCTAGCCGAGTGAGTGACAGACGTATGCGTCCCGAAGTGAAAAAGGGATTGATTGTTATAAAATTAGTAATAGGATAGATTTTTAGACTTTTTTTTATTTTGCGTTGCATAGTATAGAGGACCTTTTTGTTTAGACACCGAAAATTTCATTAACTGCAGAGCCTTGAACACCGCCGTGCTTATCGGTATTTTACAGGATATATCGCTGAGAGTGTGCGATGGAATTACACGATTTGATTACGTTTTCCCCTTTCCATCACTGGGGGACTAGACCTGATGATGAAAGGCCCAAGTTATAACGTCTATGACTGTTATAACTTGGGCCTTTTCAAGGCGAGAGTGCATAGGCAATATTTATGTGTGCATGCTCCATCGTCGACCTCATCGTCGCTTTCCATCAGGAAGGAGGTCAAATGCGCACTTACATTTTATTTAAAAAAAAAGTACTTAATTACTAAATTAGGAACAATATTCGATTCTTTTTCGGTGAAAACGACTAAATCGAAAATCGAATGTAGGATAGTGTTACTATCGATTATTCGATATTTTTTTACTAACAATAACAAACCATTGCGACTTGGTAGTGACCCTTTCGCTCTCTCGGATGTCACGATCTATAATATTTACAATGAGCAACCCCTAGAGTTTCTCTTTCATTCTTCTCAGGGGAATCTACCTTACGAATGAGCTGTAAAGTTTAATCAAGAATGACGATTTCAAGTGTAATTTGCTTATTTGTGAAATAAAGATTATTTTGACTTTGAGATTTATTTTTCTAATTTTTTTAGGGATAGAATAGAGAGGGCGGTGATATTTTCCCAATATCCACAGTACAGTTGCGCCACCACAGGTTCGAGTATGAACGCCATATTTGACTTCTACAAAAATCGGTAAGTGTACGAGTATAATAATAATAATCATCATTATTTAGCCATACGACGCCCACTGCTGGGCATAGGCCTCCCCCAACGATCTCCACGACTATCGGTCTTGCGCTGCCCGCATCCATCGGCTTCCCGCGACCTTTATCAGCTCGTCGGTCCACCTGGTTAGGGGCCTACCCATTGAGCGTTGTCCGGTGCGCGGTCGCCATTGAAGAACCTTTCCACTCCAATACCCATCGGTTCTCCTAGCTATGTGCCCCGCCCACTGCCACTTCAGCTGAGCAATTCTTCGAGCTATGTCGGTTACCTTAGTTCTCCTACGGATTTTCTCATTTCTGATTCTATCACGTAGGGAAATACCGAGTATCGGTCTCTCCATTGCCCGCTGAGTGACCTTGAGCTTTCTTATGAGGTCCATAGTATAATAATAATAATATACTGGTGTAATTACAGGCACATGGGACTTGTTAATTTATGTCTCAAAGTGACGGGTGCAGTGGCAGTGCCCCTAAGATCTTTACGATTAAAAGCTCTGAGTGGCACTGCGACTGTTATGGATAGGCATGTAGCTTACCATCAGGCGCACGACTTGTTCGTCCCCGTGACTTGGAAAAATTAAGAACAGGACCCAGTTCTGCTATTTTTTTTAAACCACTAGTCATTGTAACTCCATTGAGATTATGTAGTAATTGTGATAATATTTATTTTTTGTTTTTGTTATTTATTATTTAAAAAAAGAAAGTATTTTTTAAAAAAGTTTAAACAATTATTTAAAAAAAAATTTTTGTTGTGCTAAAATCTACTTGCAATGGCAGTTAAGTTTCAAAACAGTGTCAGTGGAATTGCAGTGACGTCATTCATTCATTCAATCACTAACCATCGATGTTGCTTTATTAAAACTACAATGGAAATTACTATATCTTAATTTTTATCACGTTTAACCTTAAAGTATGGACATCTTATTTTTATAACACTACCTTGGACATGTAACCTCACAGGCTCCAATATGAGAATGCGTTTTTGTTTAATAAAACAAATAATTTTTTAATAGGTATTACTTACATGAGTGAGGGGGGCGCGTGTACACGATAAGAAATTCGACGTGTCTGCAGCAGAAAAGATGAGAATGGTCTTGTACACGACAAGAGCTTTGTCGGATTTAGCCACGAAAACATGTGTCTGCTGTAGATGAGATAATTATGAACGAGGACAGGCGTGTGTAGGGTAAAATGTGTCAGAGCATTACGAGTCTTCTCGACAGACACCCGCCCACGCATAAACGTTCGTTTGCCGACTCTTTTTCGTTCGTTTATTGACTTCTCGCAGAGCGTGTGAGACTACATGTCCGTACTTAAAGGTTAACCAGCAATTTAGTCTATATATATATATAAATAAATAAATAAATATATATATATATATATATATATTACTTAGTTTTCCTTATATGTAACAGTATTTATTATAATTATAATGAGATTTTGTGAAGCGATGGATGATAGTGAGTCAACTATAGTGCTATAGTTTAATTTATTATTTCAGTCTTTGGTTTCTTTTTTTTCATTTTTATTGTTTTTTTTTAATTAGTTTGCTTTCACGGCGCATTGGTTATGGAACTGTAATGCCGTGTAAACATATTTACAATAAATAATGAGTGCCAAAATTTCACCATCTGACATAAGGAACATTAAGGATATTGTGACATTTAAAAGAAATTTATTTGAATACCTTGTTAATGAAACATTTTACTCTATTGATGAGTATTTGAATACTAAAAAGTAATTTGATGTTTTCAATTATTATTTTAATCAAAATATTTTAAGTTTGTAGAATCGTCATATTTATTTGTATATTGACAACGTAATGTTGTAAAAGTTAAGACTTTATAAATTGTATATAATTCTTATGTTCCTTATACTCATTTACTTCGTATGCCTTGAGGCGTAGCATAGAGGGTCACCATAAGTTTATTTATCACCATGTATTTCAATGTATCTACTGTAACGTATGTTGACGAATAAATAATAAATTATCTTCCAGCAAAGTTCCACCGATACAGTTCAGTATCATAGAGCGTTGGGGCTCGCACCCGTTGTTGGCGAGAGTGTTCGCAGAACGTATAAGGGAGAAACTGACGCTTTTCGACCCTAAACTTCGCAATAATGTGCTCATATTGTTCACAGCCCACAGTCTGCCGTTGAAGGTAGGTTTTTTACGCACACACTAATAGCCCCGCACTAGGCAATCCTGTATCGCGTTTGGCATGGACACACGTAAAGAAACTACAAATTACACCCAAATTCACGAGAGAAATAAATGCAGGACGTATTAAGACTCCTTTCTGCCCGAGAATCGAATCTGTGGCAGAAAGAAATCGTTCGGTCACTGAGGCAGTTGTAGTCACATATGACGGGGCCAAAATGGGGTAGGTGAACGCACTGACTGACTTTGAGTTGCTCCCTCAGCAGTTGCGCCGGTCGCCGGTCTTTATGCGTATGCCCAGGTGTTAGGGGTTTGTCGCGCCGCTCACTCTGGCCTCTTACAGACAGACGATGTGCTAGGATGATTTTCCGTAAAGATGCTTTTTCCGTATTGCCGTTGGACAACTGCTACGGTGACATCGCGTCAAAACGGGGAATGTCTTACATTCAAATCAGTGCGTTTTTTTAGGGTAGGAGTAGAGGGGAGATGAGTAGGTCATTTGTGCATTTGCGAATATGATTACGTATCAAACCTGACAATATATATGTATAGTCGGTGTTAAACTTATAAAATTACGAACTTGTTTGCCCGCATATTGAAAAATGAAATCAACTATTAAGGTGCTATCTATTTTGACGAAATATTTGTACCAATTCGTCTCATCTCTTTATCTTTCAAGTACACACAAAAGTGTTTGTGTCTCAGTAATGTACGTGGCATCTGTACGGTGTAAACGACTAGTGGTGGGCATATAAACGAAAAGCACTTAAAAAGTTTGCTTTTTGAAATAAGTACATAAGCACGCTTTTCAATTTAAGCGTAAGCGTTGGTCAGTTCAATACTCAACAATTTGATTGATTTTTTGTATGCAAGTAAATGTAAGTGCGTAAGTGTAAATGTAAGTGCGTATTTGACCTCTGTCTTTCCTGATGGAAAGTGACGATGAGGTCGACGATGGAGCGTGCACACCTAAATAACGCCTATCCACTCTCGCTCGATCCAGTCTGCAGGCAGGCAATTCCACCCCATAGCCATATAGATTTTTTACAATATGCATATGTTTCAAGTCCCGGCATCAATGTTTCCTAAACAAATTAATTCGTCAACGTGAATAATAATTTTATAGATAAAAATAAAACTCGTGTTTTACAAATAAACTTACTTATCTTAGAACCTTTGTGTTAGTGGTCTACTCATGCTTTTCGCTATCAACACAACGTTGCAACTTTTTTTTAACATAAAAGTCTATGCGCTTAAACGTGAAAAACGTTAAACGATTTTGTAGGATTCAAACTAAAAAGCGTTTAGAAAATTACGCTTTTTAAAAAAAGCACGTCTTAACGTTTAAAAATATAAACAGTTTTTCCCATCTCTATAAACATCTACACTCTGTAGCTCAATTCGATATAAAATGTTTAATAACAAAGCGTTGCTAGGCAACCATTGATAGCAGGTGTAAAGAACATTTTTTATCAATTCTCTTTATCTTGCTCTGCCCACGGTATGCTCGTCTAATTGGAATTTAAGTAGATAAATAGGTAATTGGGTTAAGTTTAAGTAATACTTGCCTGGCTAATTGTTATAAAGTTTGCAAAGTACGTTGATACTTATGATTTATGATATTTAATAAAAAATGGCTTCCAGGCAGTATCGAGAGGCGACACCTACCCACACGAAATCGCGGCGTCAGTATCGCAAGTGATGACTCAATTGAAAGTTCCCAACCCACATCGATTGGTGTGGCAGTCCAAGGTGGGACCGTTGCCTTGGCTCGAGCCCTATACTGATGATGCTATTAAGGTAAATAACATTATCGTATAATTTGTAAATGTTATTTAATATCAATTCTTACGATGTTGTAGTAGCAGTAGAGTTCTTTGTGAAAGAGTTCGTCTGGGTAAGTATTGCCACCTTATTTATTTCTGACGCCATATTTGCGTTTCGGTTTTGAAGTGGAACTTGTCAACTCATGTCTCAGGGTGACGAGCGCAGTGGCAGTGACCCTCAGATCGTTACGATTTATAGCTCTGGCACTGCAACTCCGCTCTTATCATAACTAACGTAATCGAGATTTTTTAAGTGAAATTGATTTAATAACGTATCTGGGGGTCGATTCTGGACCCCGATTCAGAACTTTTCGATATGTTAACCGAATCGTTCGATTGGATGTCGTTCTCGAATCGAAGAGCACTTTCCGAGCTATTCAGAACATTCGAGTTAAAACGTTCGAGTCCGATACGATATCGTAATCCAACAAAGTTTACGGACTTAGTCGGCGAATATAGATTATAAGAAAAATTAAATCCTTTTGTATACATTTTTAAAACTTTAAAGGTCTAAAATATAGGAATGCAAGTCTTGCATTAAAATAAATTAATAAAATGGAACAAAATCCAGACTTCATAGAGATTTCCATATAGCCTTTCGGTAGCGGTTCGGCTTCGACTACGACAGTTCTGACGTTTGATTCGGGTGTTGTGAATAAAAATGACAAGAAACCGTACGATATCAAATCGAATCGGTCGACAACGGAGCCGCCTCGAGTGCACGTACAGTATCCTCCCTATTTCCCAGATAGGTACCGGAGCTGTAGGCACCCTTATTATAGATTATAGGTATGCATGAGTCTCGCATCAAAATAAATTAATAAACTTGAACAAAATCCAGATTTTATTTAAAATAAAAGATTTCCATATCACATTCTTGCTTTGTAAACAATGGGACGTTCGGTAAGTTTCATTCGATAACTGTGTTCTGAATAACGTCTGTGGCCTTTGCCGGTCGAGAAGTTCGAGTAATCGTACGGGTGTGACGTCATTTCGGATATTGTTTAGTTTCAGTTTTATTGTCCAACTATTTATTACACTTTTGACATAAGCGTGCCAATGAAGTTCCATAATTATTGACAAGCAATCATAGATAGAATCTTTATTCACCACCATGACAAATACATACACAGACACGTGATACAGACATTAACTTAGATGTAACACAGTAATATGTTCTACTAATATCTCTCTTGGAGGCCATGGCAATGAAAAGGCGTTGATTCAGCATAAATGACGCGGCTGTCTGCGACCCTGGTATTCTGCCAGGACCCTATAGGACCGAGACGCCACTTGTAAAACATAAGAAAACCAATTCAATTTAATTGAAATCAATCCAATTAAATTTTTTTTGCGAATTTGCAATAAACATAATAAATTTTAATGGTTTAATGTTCCGCCGAAGTCGCACGTTACTCCATTTATTAATACCTAATATAATGTTAACAATGTCAATGTGCCAAATCGATTAAAACTTTTTTACTTTATAAACCATTGATTTACAAATAAATGGACGACGGGTCTAATACAAAAACCACGAAAAAAATGTCCCAAGTCAACCTATTTAAACGTAGTGACATTTAAAGGAATATGAAAAAGCTAAAACGTTGAATTTAAGTTGTAATGTCATCGCAGTACTGTCTAATTTTGCTTGCTTCGCTGTCAGTCGAACAAACGAAGACTAAAGTGTGAATGACGCTCTGTATACGATTTTAACGCCCTATAAGTTCGGACACTTTTTAGCGCGGACCCGACGTCCATATAATTGTAAGTCAATGTTATAAACCATCTTTGTTCAATGAATTAATTGTGAATTAAAACAATTAAAACTACTTCATTAATAAAATCGATTGTTATAAAAAATCGAATCGGTAACGCATTAGGACATCACTAATTGATTAATAGTCGAGCTGTCAAAAGTAAAATAAATCGTTGGACGGACTATAACTGTCATTTTTCAAAGAAAAGAAAAACTTTAGGTGCCAACAACTCAAAAGATACCAAAATGCAAATGCGTCGTTTATGTCAAGGAGGGCAGAACCGCAATAGACAGGCGTGTCGCTTACCACCAAGCGCACGACTTGTTCGCCCTGTCACTTGTTATCATAAAAAAAAATGTTTTCTATTACTATGATTGGTACTTTGAAGAAAAAGATTTACGATCACTGCACCATTGTTTACGTTTTTTCCAAATTCAAAATAAAAACGAAGTATAAGCACAATTAGAGTAACATATGTGTTGTTTCAGCTGTACTCCAGGCAAGGCCACAAGCACATGATTCTAGTCCCTATAGCGTTTGTCAACGAACATATAGAAACTCTACATGAACTTGATATTGAATACTGCGACGAGATTGCCAAAGAGGTACTGTACAAACTTTATCCTCCTATTATCTTCTTTTTCGTAGCACCCTTAACAGAACGGTTGTGGTCATCACGGAGTATGTTTGTTGGGGGCTAAGGCTCTCCCCACGATATCTCACCATCTCTCTCTGTTAGTGGACTCCTTCGTGCATTCATGCAAAGAATCTACCACTGTAGACTTTATTTGATCCGTCCATCGCATGGGTGACCTTCCGCACGGTCTAGTGCCCCGCACGACAAGACGCTCTATGGAGTCAGAGCTCCGTCTTGAGAGGTGCCCGAAGAACTTCAGGATGCGAATTTGCACCACAGGAGACAGACCCTGTTTAATGCCGAATTCTTGGAGAATTGAGACGTTTGAACGAAACTCTGGCCACGATACCCCAAGCATTCTTCTCCAGCACATTTCCAGAGCGTCTATTTTCATCCTCTCAATTTCATGAAGCGTCCATGTCTCTGCAGCATACAGAAATACGGGGAAAATTATACTACAAATTTTCTGGGATGATGAAAAAATAATAAAAAAGAGATGAAATGATTTCATTTCCTAAGTAAAAAGGGGGATAAAATATCATTTCTGAATACCAAATATTAATTAGTATGCTTAATCATAATAATAGTGTTCCCTTAAATCAAGTTCATTTATAATTTATCCGTAGATCAACTAATATAGACGGAACAATGAATATATAAATCAAACATTAAAAAAATATTTAAAAAAAATGTTTTTTTATAAAAGTGCACATTTACACTAGTTAGATATCTTTTCATCGCTGTAACATCGACTATCGCTACATAGATGTGTTGCAGCAAATTTTTGATAATTCTTTAGCTCCGACTGTTGTATTATGTTTTGTATTATAACTTGCTAAAGAATCAAAAATAAGATTTTAGTAAATGGAATTTGGAACAGCTCCAACTGTTGTGGCGGTCGACCTGGGAGTGACCGTGGTACGAAAACAAAATGAGAAACTGAAGGAAGATGGAACAATTCAAATTTAAAATTTAAATACATGTAAAATAAAAAAATGATAGGATACAAGCGGAGAGAGGCGATACAAAGAGGTGAGATGACGGTGTGAGGAGGTCACACCGTCACAGATGTACTTCGGGAGCTATATTCATATGCAACTCTACAGGTTCGAATGCATGAACTAACCAACCCTGTACCAATCAAAAGGGGAGTGCGGCAGCGACACATCATTTCGCCAAAATTGTTTACTGCTATCCTTCAAGACGTAGTAAAAACACTTGATTGGACGATATGCGGCGTTAACATCAATGGAGTCTTCCTGTCCCACTTACGGTTTGCAAACGACCTGGTACTCTTCGCTGAAAAATTTAACGATCTCCAGAGGACGCTGCAACTGTATGATGCTTCTATGCGGGTGGGCCTCAAGATGAATATGTCCAAGACTAAGGTTATGGCGAACATCTCCAGCGTCACAAATCCAAGTATCACAGTTGGAAGTGAGATGTTGGAGATTGTCTATCAATACGTTTATCTCGGACATATTTTGTCTTTTGGCAAGGAGCATCAAATGAAGGAGATCACCAGAAGAATTCAGCTTGAGTGTGCCGCGTTTGGCAAGTTGGACGAGATTCTTAAGTCAGCTAAAAATCCACAATGTCTGAAGACCCGTCTGTATAATCAGTGTGTTCTGCCTACTATGACTTACGGTGCCGAGACATGGACGCTCACGCAGGAGGCTGTGTATAGGATGAGAGTTGCACAGAGAGCCATGAAGTGTGTCTTGATCGGTATCAAGGTTATAGACCGTGTTCCCAAGATTCGAAGTCGAACTAAGGTAAAGGACGCGGGGACCCGCATCACGAAGCTAAAGTGGAGCACCTTATCAGGGAGACAAGATGACAGATGGATTAAGGCAATAACTGAGTGGCGTCGAAGGACTGGATACAGGAACGTCGGGCGTCTAGCGGCGAGATGGGCGAACCTGGATGATATTAGCACGGGATCGTGGGGAGCGGCACAGAAACTTAGAGGTCTATATCCAGCAGTGGGTGAAGTCAGGCTGTATATGAATGAATGAGATATTTGATGATCAAATAACATTACCCCTTTTGTTTTTTCACATTTGGCGGGTTCGATTCCCTGTTCAGACGGGCGATTATTTAAAAATCTTTGAATGTAGTACGAATTGATTTTATAATCAAAATTAATCTATAAAATTTTCTATCTACGGTATTTAAGGCGCTTTTCCTCCATGTGGCATGGCCGTGAGACGCCCTGTATGGGAAATAGATGAATAGATAATAAACGGTGTTTTATTTTCCTCGACAGGCGGGTGTAGTACAAATAGAAAGGGCAGCTACCCCCAACGACCATCCCATATTCATCCAAACGTTAGTCGATGTGGTCAACACACATTTACAACAGGGGCCTCGAATATCATCACAGTTCCTTACACAGTGAGTTTGAAATTGTACTTTTTTAAGGGCAGAGTTCGTCGAGGGATGTACTGTCTCCTTACCTATTTCTGCCGCCAAGCAGTAACGTGAGCATTACTTAGGCAATGCCCCTCAAATCTTTGCAATTTAAAGCTCTGAGTGGCACTGCAACTGTCATGGACAGGCGTGTCGCTTACCACCAGGCACAACTCGAGTCATTTATTTTTATTCATTTATTTATTTATTCATTCATTTAACATTTGTAGCTTTACAGATAAATCCAAATCACTACAAACAAAAACAGCAAAAAAAAAAACATCAAATAACATACAAACAAATAAACATAATACAGTTCACAGGATTGAACTCACAGGCATCATTGGTTTAAACACTTTCCTTTATTCACACATCAGACATCCAAACGTGCTGTCAAACAAATCAGAGTGTGGTCGTCCAAATTTGTCACGAGATTCTTTTTATTTTCTTTTTGTTCGACAGATGCGTGCACTGCACAAGTCCCCGCTGCAAAGCTTCTAAAGAATTCTTCAACAGTCTCTGTAGTACGCCAGTCACAGCCTCGGAGCGCATCTTCGTAGATCCACGGCATAGTGTCGCCCGCGCATAGTTAATAAGCATATTTGCAGGACCAGTTTTCATAAAATTTTAAATAGGCATGTAGTTGTTATCGACACTTTTATCGATAGATTGTGAAAGAAGGTAAAATTTTTCCAAAAATGTCTTGATTGTTAATGTTACGACGTTCTAATGATTACTAATTGCGTTTTTCTGTCGAAATCCTTTTTTTATATACATTTTAATAAGAAAAGGCGGATTTGATTGTCTATGTTGAATTAAAATGAAAAAAAAATTATATCTCTTCCTTGTATTTTTAATAGACATAGTTCTAAATACAGTGTATGTATGAATTTACAAAAATTGACAATTCAAATGAACTTGTACCCAGCAGTTGGACTAATGAGCCGGTGATGATTCAAAGAAAACAAGCTCGGCTATTTATTGAGTAAGCGTGACCAACATTCAATCGATAGTCTATAGAATATTTATCGACTGCAATCACTAGCTGCTTGCAAGCGGGCAACAATTTCGCTCAATGAACTAGTTTTTTACTCCATTTTCAAAAAAAGCGTTTTTATACACTTGAATCGATCTTCATAAAAATCGAATCGTAATGTGCATCCCTATAGTCTGTTCCAATCCATTTTGAACGAAATATAAACAAAACGGTTTAATTTCTAAAGCAATCACTCAATAAATCGGATAAGTAACACACACACACACGTATATTTCGAAGATTTTGACTTGATATTTCATCATTTTTTCCAACAATATTCATTTGAATAGCATCGTAAAATCGTATTTGAAAATGTTAGTCAAATAGTGAGGTTATTTTTTAATTAAGATGTATGAATGGTCTATGGTTGCATAGTGCTCTACGGAAAAAATATTCAGTCCATTCAATTAAACTTTTGTAATCGATTAGTAAATGGAAAATTTCAATCGCAATTAAACGAGTATTTAAGTGTTAGGATTTGAAATTAAGATTTCGGAAATTTTAAATATGCTGTTATAGGTTATGTATTGAAAACCGCTAATATGACTCAATTAAACAAAACGATTCATTCAATTAATTAATCGATTTGTAGTTGGCAGTAAAATTGGCCATTACTAAAATCATCATCTATGGTCGGGTCAGTGACTTGTTTCTTTACTTTTTGTTTAAAATAGATTGAAACGAAGTATATAGTTCGATCTCCGGATCAATGTAGGAATTTAACTTTTCTGTGTTGCCTTATTATATGGGAGTTTTTGCTACCGTCGTTGTTTCCAATTTCCATAACACAAGTGCTTTATTTTAATTATTAATACAAAGATCGAACACTCGGGGGAAAAAATCCTTCGATCCGGCCGGATTCGAACCGACATCTTCTAGCATACAGTGCCAGACGCTATACCAACTAAGCCCCGGAACGAACCAGCGGACCTCACGAATTCTTCTATGTGCTTGCGTCGCATCTTTGTATTTGGTTTTTTAGCTGTAACAAACTAGTGGAGTATCAATTCAATAAAAATTTAAATACAAGTGCTTTAGTTACTTTTATTTATAATAAAGTACACACTCGACATAGCCTCGTCCTAGGGAAACCCTGTGTCATGGTGCCATGGACACACATAGCCAACCCCAAATTCATGAGAGAAATAAATGTAGGCCATACAGATATTTCAGTCCGGTATGGTAACAGTTCGGCCACAGAGACACTTACTTTGGGATCAGCAACGTAGGTGATGTTGCCTAATATTTATTATTATTATGCTTTGCATCCATAGGTACAACCAGAGGCGGCTCGCGGAAGGTTTAGTGTTAGTTCACTTACCTATACATATTTTAAACAAATAATGATCAGTACAGAGTACTAAAACACCGTTCTCAAAAGTACGTGGAATTACGTCTATTTGCTAAGTTTTATTGAAATATCCCCTAGTTCGCCACTATACAGGACTTGACACTAGAGATAATAAAAATCGGTTCTCACTACTCAAAGTATATTGAGAGAAAAACGCCTTGAATTGGAGAAATAGCAAAATCAATCATTAAAGTAATTGCTCCTAAATTAAAGTTAGGCGCTATTTATAAAAATGAATCTTCATGCGTGAACAGCCACCCTTTGAGATGGATGATTTTCTTCAAAATAAAATGGGACCACTATGGAAGTACCCCCTTTCCAACAAAAAAAGGATCATGAAAATCGGTTCACAAATACCGGAGTTTTCGCGTAACATACATACAAAAAAAAACATACAGACGAATTGAGAACCTCCTCCTTTTTTGAAGTCGGTTAAAAAGGAATCTCACTTTATATGTACATATTGTTCCATTTTAAACAATGCCACTAAACAATACTACGCTTCTTAACAACGATTGAATAATATTATTTTTTGCAATACAACACTGACAAATAAAACTGGCAACAGCGCGCGGAGGCGAAGTGCAGTCGTCGCATCTGCTGCACGGCACGGAAATCTTCTGTTTTTTCGCGCCGTAAAGAAATTTCTCTTTCGCACTCATTGAATTCCATACTACACTTTATAAACAACTTCGCTTCACAGGAGCGCATCGCGGAGCGCTCCACTTCCAAGGTTAGTAAAGCTATAAGTACTATATTAAAGAGAAAGATAAAAATTTAATTGTATGTTTTCGTTCATTAATAACAATAATAGAATACTGCGGCTACTAATATCATATGAAAGCTTAATGAATAATTTCGTTTTGATGGGTTGGATAGGAGTGGGAGATCACTGCACCAGCGCTCCTTAGGACCAGTAACTGGAGAGGACTGCTGAGAGCGACGACATAGTCGGGTATTTAGTACCTATTGCTACACCAGATGTCGCGACGAGTACCTATTTGGTACTCGTCGCGTCGTCGGCTTAGAGAATGGAAAAAAAGGACCTCATGTACTGCGAAATGGACACAGTCGGCATTTAAGATGACGTTACGTATTTTCAATTCCCGTGTTTGGCACAGACCAATGTAATGCTGTCTGTTTTGTTCTAACATGTGTATGTTTTCAATGTAGAAATGCATCCTATACATATAACGTCTGATTTGAACAGATTATGTAACGAAGATTATACAATTGATAAATTTTGGTACCTGTCTAATAAATTATTATGAAATGAAATAAATTATAAATAATTAATAACGCACACACTCAACATAGGCCCGCACTAGGGAAACCCTGTGTCGCGGGTGCCATGGACACACACATAGACAACCACAAATTACACCCAAACTCACGAGAGAAATAAATGTAGGCCATACAAATATTTCTTCCGGCCCGGGAATCGAACCCGGGGACCTCTGCGTAGCAGTCCGATATGGTAACCGTTCGGCCACAGAGGCAGTTTGTTTCGGAGGCAATTATAATAAATTCTTATTGTTTGTTATAATGAATAATCGTCGGATAGTTCTCCATATGAACGGGAATCATCACGTGAATCCTCATTAACATTAATTATTAATTCTTGAGAACACAAATTGTCAAACGCAACATCACGACCCCAATCAGACAATATCTTACTTTTTGAAGCCGCTCACATTCACGATTAAAACTTCTTCATAAATAAAATCGATTATTATAAAAAAATCGAATCGTAAATGCATTAGGACATCACTAATAGATTACAATTCGAGCAGTCAAAAGGTAAATAAATGGTTGAGGGTCGATTCAGAACCTTACGATAACTCGGTTGTCGACCGATGCAATTTGATGTGTCGTACGATCTCTTTTCATTTTTATTCACAACAACCGAAGCAGAAGCTATAAACGTTGTTCAACACAGTTATCGAATAACACTTACCAAATGTCCTATTAGAAATGTACATGGAAATCTCTTATTCTTTTAAATATAATCTGGATTTTGTTCAATTTCATTAATTTATTTTAATGCAAGACTGATGCATTCCTATATTTTAGGCCTTTAAAGTGTTAACAATTGATATAAAAGGATTTTAATTTTTCTTATAGTCTATTTCACCGACTATCAACGTAAACGCTGTTGGATAATTATATCGTATCCGAATCCGAAACGAAAGTTTAACTCAAATGTTCTAAATAGCTTGGAAAGCCCTTCGATTCGAGAACGATATCCAATCGAGTGATTCGGTTAAAATATCGAAGAGCTCTGAATCGGGGTGGTCAGAAATACAATTTTTTTTTAAATAATACCAAGTGACGGGACGAACAAGACGTGCGCCTGATAGTAAGACACGCCTGCCCATAACAGTTGCAGTGTTACTCAGAGCTTTAAATCATAAAGATCCCGACCACCGCCACTGCACACGTCGCTCTGAGACATAAGTTCACAAGTCTCATGTGCCTGTAATTTCGCCAGCACCCTTACCATTCACAACCGTAACACAGTAATGTGACCACTACCGCTTGGCGGTAGAAATAGACGGTACGATACATCGAAATTGACACTAGCTCAAACTCAGCGGCCGTCATTATGAAAATAATAATACCATCCCTGCCATTCCATTGACACTCTAGCATAGTTTCCCAAAGTGCTCCCTGCCGAGTGGGCGCTGAAAAGTCCTAGGGTAGTGGCCTCGATAGCAACTGGGGGGCATTAATGCTGTCCAGGGAGGGCTACCGCATTTGAAAAAAAACCTGGCGCTGCGGCTAAAAAGTGGTTGAAAAAACCAAATACAAAGACACGACAACAACTACATACAAAAATTCGTGAGGGCCGCTGGTTCGTTCCAGTTCGTTGCTTAGTTGGTATAGTGTCTGGCACGGTATGCTAAAAGACGTTGGTTCGAATCCGGCCGGATCGAAGGAAATTTTTTCTGAGTGTTCGATCTTTGTATTAATAATTATAACAAACTAGTGGAGTAATTGCACATAAAAAATAATTGAATATCAATTCAATAAAAATTTCAGTACCTGAATTTTTTTCATAGTCCCGCACTAGGGAAACCCTGTATCGCGGGTGCCTTGGACACACATAGACAACCACAAAGTACTGTAGACTAGGCATTATGGTTTGTGTAAGTGCTGGCTGAATGAATGTAGGTTTGTGTTTAGAATTATATAAAAAAATAGGATTGAAAAAAAAAGACTATCTTGGTTGTAGAACGGGCTTCGAACTGAAAATACGCAGTAAATATTTATTCATTAATACAATCCTGGTTTATCATTAAAAAGTGCCTCTCGCAACGCAATCTTACGACTACGTCCCTTTTACAGTACACCCATACTT